TTACTAAATAGTTTATTATATATATATATATATATATATATATATAATTATATTGAAAAATATAAATATAAATAAAAATATTAGCATTGAATGTCATTAGCTTTTTTTTGAAATATTGAAAAATGAAATACTATATATTGAAGAAATATATAGAATATATTGATATTTTTTATCATTTTAATGCATAATAAGTTGTTAAATAACACAAAATATAAGAATTAAAACCTTCATCTAAAGTTAATCTCTTCTTTTTTTAAAACATAAATGACATATAATATTAAAATTCTTAATTGAATCTAGTTTATTATATAATTATAACTTTTTAGATATAAAAGAATAGTACTTACTTTTTGATGAAACAATTTTTTTATATACAAGTAATTGTAACAATAGTTTAACTTTATGAAAACTGAAAAATTCGAATTTTTCATTCAGCTCCATAAGCTAAGAATATTTGAACATATACACGTAATTGAACTACACTATTTTGCTTTATATTTTATTATTTATATATTTATAATTTATATATTAATATATTTTTATTATATAATTTAATGTAAAAAATTTTTAATTCTTAAAATGTACGATAATTTTATATATAATTTTACATATAATTTTATATATACATGACACATATAACATCAAAATCAAAATTACGAAACCGTTGATTTCAAAAGTAAACATAAAAGTCCTGTATCATGAGAAGGAAGAAGGAGAATCTCAGAAAAATAAATGAAATTTATAATAATATAAGATGAATATATATTAAATTCTTTTTTATTTATGAAATAATTTTTATTAAAATTTGTGAAAATTATTATAAAATAAATCTATACTATGATATACTCAGATAAAATGTTTTATTTCAAATATTTCAATTATATAATTCAATATTTCAATTTATACATCCAATTTTGAACGACTTTTCAAATTTTTCTCAAATTTTATAGAAATTCAATAAAATATTAAAGAGTATGTACATATGTCTTATAACAAAACAACTTGATTATTATAACAAATAATTAATAAATATATATGATATAATAAATTTTTAAATTTTCTATTTTTATTCTATTAAAAATTTATATTTATAGAGAATGTTATATTAGAAGTTAATATAACATTAATAAATTTTATTAAAAAATTGAATCTTCTAAAATACAAACATATTCGATACTTCATTTCTTGAGAATATTAGTTGGATTTCTTGATGAATTAATTGACCGTTAAAGAAGAACTGGAAATGGTGGTCACAGTTTCTAGAAAAATAATTAAAAAGATGCCCGATGCCGATCGAAGCGCGAGTCACAGATAAATTGAAACTGGTTTCAACTGCCCACTAGTAGTTTGATCTGGGACTTACCAAGTCTCCCAAGAAGCACCTTAAGCTATCCTCTTTCTTCTATAGAAACTTTTCTCAAATATTTGAACAACTCTTTTCAAATATTTTCTATTCTATCTTTTTTTCAAAATTTTAAATTTTCGATAAAAATAAAACTAAAATTAATTTCAAAAAAACTTTTTCAATAAAGACTCTAAAATATTTCAAGTATAAATTATATAATTCATATGAAAAGAAAATGAAGAAATATATATTTAAAGAAATTATGAGAATCTTAATTTTCTTTACTTTCATTAGAAAAGAAATGGCTGATAAGTAATTTAAGAATTGAAAAAAAATTAAAAATTGTAAATTTTAGTTTCGAATTCTAACAATAAATTTCCATTCCTGCTGCTCGATTGTCTTGCTGTTAATTGTAACTACTTGATTCTTCATTGGATAAACAAGAGGAGAGACTGAAAATAATTGCTGCCTCTCTTAACATCGTTTTCTTTCACACACATTATTTTATTAACCCCTGCAAAATACACAACAAAGCTTGAATAAATATTCTGTTACATTCTATACTAAGAAAACTATGTGAAAACAGTAAAGTATAAGTATTACAAACATCACATTAATTAATTAATTAAAATATTTTAAATTACACACTCAAGTTATAAATATAAATTATCTTGTGAAATGAATTATCATAAAACATTGAATATTGTACTCAATATTGTATTAAGTTGTAAAAATATTTTTTATGTTCAGAAGTAACTAAAATAGCCTTTTTAGCAGAACATCATGTTTTATTAAATTTTATTTAATTACTTGTGCGCAATAACAATTTGCAATGCAAATTTATAATTTTATATTATTATTGAAGAAATATTTTATTTAATTATAAAAAAAAGAAATAATATATATATATATATATATATATATATATATTATATTATAAATATATATATTATAATTTTTTTGATCGATTTTCGAAAAATATATTTTTATAAAGTAATTTATAATAACATAATAATTTATAATTAAATACTTTTTAATTTATAATTAAGAATTTTTTTAAGTGAAGTTTTTTTTGGTATTATTTTGATATTATAAATATTTTATTAATTATTTTAATTCTTTCATCATGTTTCATTATTGTTAATATGTGAAATAATGTCTATAATAACTTTTTAAAACTTTTCTTATTTCATTGAATAATAAAAAAAATTAGAAACTGGCAGTTTAGGAACAAGATTTAAATGGAAGACATTTGATTAACTAAATATTCACTAAGTTAAGTGTTTTTTTTTATAACACAATATTGTCTGAAATTAACATGTTCAAATAATTTTTTTCCCAGCTCAACTGGTTAAATATTAAGATTATTTTAAACATTTGATACAATAAAAAGTAATATATTTTTTTTTCGAAATCTAACTAAAATTAAATTAAAACAATGATATGTAAATATTGATAATTAAATTTTCCTATTCATTTTTTGAACATGTCTATTATTTTTTCTATAAAGATCTACTTCATAGATTTTTTTGTAATTTTATATATATATTTATAACTTATAAAATTAAATAGGGAATGTTTAAAATCTACAAATTTCAAGACACAACTGATTAATTAAAAATGAAGAAAAAAAATTAAACTTTGCTAATATTGATATCTTCCATGATATCTATATCATCAGAACTAACACCGAAAATGTACTTTCTTGGAGCGGTAGTAGCATCCTTTAATATATCATTTGAATTGGTATCCGAAATTTGCATTTGTCTGCGATGTATTCGTTTTGCTATTATAGGAAAAAACAGATTGAGATCCAGCTCAATTTTTTGTTTTTTAAACATCTGCTTCAAACAGAAGCTAAGGAATAATCCAATAATGAATGTTATCAAAAATCCAAGTGGACAATACCACATATAAGAAAGCCGATACAGATAAAAATAAGAATCATCCGATTTCCTAAAATAAAATAAAAAACAAAAACATTTTTATTATATTTTTTCAGAAATTTAATATGAGAATTTCAAGATTACTTAAGATAAATTCATTACTTACAATTCTGTTTGTAAGATAGAAATGGTTGTATTTGAACAACCTATATTAGTAACTGGTAATGTTGGTGGTGTAGGTCTGGGTTGTCCAAATGCAATCCAAAATAAAAATATTAGGGATACAATAGTAGCCGTTACGGATCCTGTTTCTGTAGCTGTTTCTGTAAGCATTCCGAGTGTAAAAAGACCAAGAAGTGGACCACCCACTACTCCAAATATTGTTAAACCAGCCTATAATATTAATATAAATAAAATTCATTTAAATAAAATATGAAAGATATTTATAATATTTATAATATAATCTTTTAATATAATAATGCATAAGAATGAATACTTGTAAAACACCACCCAATAATTGTGCTAAAAACGCTAAAGCAATAGATATAATTCCATAAATAAAGGCAAGTAACTTTGCCAAAGTTGTGGACATGGTTAGAGAAAATTCCTTATGACAACATTTTTTATATGTTGGTTTTATATAATCTTCTAATGTTACCGCTGCTAAAGAATTCAATGCTGCTGAGATAGTGCTGAGACCAGCACTAAAAATACCTAAAGAAAAAAAGTATAAAAATGTGATTATTTAAATTTTATTAAAATGTTATTCTTTTTGACATGTGTCATTAACATATATTAACATATTGTACATATTAATATTTAATATTAAGATAAGAAATATAATTTGTCTAAAACTTTATAAAAATTTTACCTGCTATAAAAAGACCAGCTAAACCAGGTTTATCAGACATGGTATCCATAACATACAATGGCATTAACATGTCTGTAGATGATATTCTTTTTTGAAGTAATGGATCACACTTGTAATATTTACTATATATTGCTAATCCTGAGAAACACGTAGTTATTGAAAGTAAAGATAAAATTGGCCATGACAACCAAAGTGCTTTTTGTGCTGCTTTTATGTCTCTAAAAATATTGTGTAAATTAATAATATTTCTTATTTTATTCATTACAATACTTACTTCACTGTTAGCATACGTTGCACTTGAACTTGATTTACACCATATAGTGACAAAAATGTACATAAGCCTCCAAAAATAAGTGACCACCAAGTATGTCGAACTGTGGGATCTATAGAAATACTAAGAAAATAGTTTATTTTTAAATTTCTTAAAAAATATAAATTTTTCATTGTATAATTAATATACATATACCTGTCAAATTGAATTCGATTCCCTTCTTGAGCTATTTCCCAGATTCTTCTTAAACTTCCAGCTTCATTAGCAGCTGTGATAATAATAACAAAAACAGAAATAAACATAAGCAATCCTTGGAATACATCTGTAATTAAGACAGCTTTAATGCCTCCTATACTTGAATAGAAAGCACAGACTAATCCAATGATAATAATACTGCCAGTTTTAGAAATTCCTGTTGTAGCCTCCAATGCTAAAGCAGGAGCATAAAGTACAACACCTGAATACAAAAGTAGCTGTAGCCAGTATACAAAACTAGCTAATGTTCTAGCTTTTACTCCAAAACGTTTTTCTAAATACTAGAGAAGAGAAAAATATAACTTATATACACATATGTATAATTTCTTATTATTATTAAAATTATGTAAATACAATAATAATACAAACCTCATAAGCACTTGTTGCTTGGAGTTTAAAAAATACTGGTAAAAATCCATAACAAACAAGAGGAGTTCCTATAAGATATGATAAATTAATTACTACAAATTGTGTTCCATATGTGTAATTTTCTGCAGAAACCCCTAACAAGGTAATTGCAGACATGAAAGAAACAACTAATGCTACACCCACAGGAAGAATGCTCATAGATCTGCTGGCAATGAAATATTCCTATCAGAAAACATAATTTTGTTTTGTTTCAATTAAATATTATTTCAAAATTTTAAAAGAATAATAAATATACCTCTATAGTTTTCTGTCGGCCACCACTGAATCTGTAGTAAATACCTATACCCATACTTATACATAATGTAACTGCTATGACCAGATAGTCTTCCCATTGTAGTGTTCCTATTTTTTCCATACTATTATTCTATTAATTCAAGAAAAAAATCTATCAATCTTAAATATATTATATAGTAAATTATATCAACTAATGGATAACATTACTAAAGAAAGAAATATACTCAATATATTATCAATTATATCAGTTTAAATATAAATTGCCTTTGTCAAGTATCATATCTTTATAGCATATTATTAAGTATTATTTGCTAATATTATCTATAGAAGTAAGATTAGATCAAATTACTTAAATTTTCATTACATTTATTTCTTTTAATTTAAGCAAAATTTAAATACCAATAAAATTATTTAAAAAACAATAAATATGATAATCATCAAAAAAAGTTTACTATTTATTTCTTATCTATTTTATAATAATAAAAAATTAATTTATATAATATAATTATATACTATATATAACTATAATATAATTATAATCATCTAAGATAATTATAATCATCTAAGAATCTTATCATAGTTAGAGAGACAATATTCAACATGTAATACTATTCGTTTGGTTGTGTAATTACTGGAACATCTTATCAATCGCTTAAGTCTTATGATTCTACTTTATGAATAATTTAAATCATAGTTTTTAATTATATTGAGAATCTTTCAAACAATAATTTATGCTTTTATAAAAAATAGTGCACTATTAATACAATAATGATGAAAAAATAACGTTGACGAATATACTCGTAAACTTACCAGGAGCGTGGCAACGTCGTCCACCGATATAATGAATAAAAATGTTTTGCCACACGGATCAATCTTGATCCGCGTCGCGGTTCTGACCTTCTTTAATTGTCGATAGTGGATTTCAATGCGCTCTTTCGAAAAAATGGTCATATATAGTATTTAGAGAGAACACGTGGGAAACATGGGCAAGCGTAAACAATAGCATAAGGGTACACAATATGTAGACATCAGAATTATAGAATATTTTCATATTATTTTGAAATTTTGATATTACAATTATTTCGAAATTATTTATAAAATAATAAATAATAAAATTTATTACGATTTTATTGAAATTCTCTATTAAATTTTCTTAAGTTAGATAGATTTTTATATTAAAGATTTATTAAAAAAACCATATTCTGACAAAAAAAATTACGTGTGAATATCTATAGCAATGTCTTGTGAATATATGTAGCAAATCTAAAAATTTAATAACAAGTTTAATAATAGATATGAAATTTATTTGTAGATAATATTGAAAATATTTTTAGTTAATTAAAAAAATTGTACATTAAAATTTTTTTATTTTAAATATGTATTAAAAAAATTTAAAAATTATATCTATATTGAGAATCACTGTTCTCCGCTTTTGAATTATTAGATTCATATATAACAGAGCAAAGGTAACTCTTATTTAAATAATTAATGCTTTTAAAAACAAATGCATTTGTTTAATAATATTAGTCATTTTATTTATTTATTTATATGTTTTTAAATAATAATAATTATAGCAATAAAATTCATTTCGTATAATATTTAAAAATTTCCAATATAATGATTATTTATATTTATGTTATATAAAAATTATATAACATATATTTCACTAGTAAAAACTATTATTTTCAATTAAATAGATATTCAATGAATAGAATAATGAAATCTTAATATAATCTAAATATAAATACTAATTTTTAAATATTGATTTTAGTAATTTAAAAATTATTTTAATATTAATCCTAAAAATTAATAAAATCAAATATAAATAATAATTAAAAATTAATTGGAAGCATTCATATTAAAAATATATTAAATTTTCAACATTAAGAAAGTTTATAAAAAAATGTTTTAAATGCAGGTGGTGCAATTATTTAGAATGAAAGTACCTTCGTAATGGCTGACTAACAAATGCTTGTTTCACTGATTTGTTTAATTGTCAACTCATGGAGATTTTTATCTCGATTACTGATTGATGATCGACCTCTCGTAGTGTAAGTAATCGATTGTTTGAAATGGCGGATTACAATGATAAATGTACAGAAGATTGTTCATTTGATTACAGTGAGGATAAACAAAAAGGTGTATGTTTAATTAAAGAAGAGTAAGTAAATATTATTATTTTTATTTAAATTTTTTAGTTTTTTAAAAAATTATTGCAATATATTATGACTATATATTGGATAACCTCAATTTATAAAAACCGCATGGTATTTTATTATTTATAAACATTTAAATTGAATTATATTATGAAATTAAATTATTTTTTCCTGGATAAAAGTATTTAATTTTATTTTTTAAAAAATTATTTATTAATACTATAATTAATTTTAAAAATATTTCAGATTTATTATAGAAGATCATATAAGACTTTTAAGTGAAAAGTGTTTAACTGAAACTGATAAACAAAAAGTTTTAAATAATACAACTAATATAAATGATGATACTTCTTTATTAGACGAACCTCCAACCAAAAAGTTTAAAAATGATGATAAAAAAGAAAAACTTAAAGGGCAAAATAAAGCAAGACCACCTCCATTTAAGACACAGCGTGAATTAAATCTATGTCCATGGATAGCAGATCAAGCAGTAGATGAGCCTGAAAAGAAATGTGATAATAAACGGTGTATATTTTTGCATGATAGAATTGAATATTTAAAAATTAAGCCGGATGATATTTCAGATGAATGCCATCTTTTTGAACTCAGTGGCAGATGCCTATGGGGCACTACTTGTAGAATGGGTTCTAAACATTTAACAAAAGATGGTTTAAATATTATTGATAAGGAAAAAGAGAAAGAATTTAAAAAGAGACTTCCATTTACAAAAAATCATTTAAATAAAGATATTCAAATTTTATTAAGAAAACATAAATATAATTTCTACAAAGCTGAAAAAATTGTTAAAACAAATGAACATTCTAAAAAAAAATTAGGAACAGAAAGTGTTAAACAAATTGAAGGATCCTCAAATAAAAATAAGTTAAATATAAAAGACAATTTAATATTAAATGTTTCCACTAATGAAACTAAGAATGAAATTTCTAAAAGTCAAAATATAGAAAAAAGAATTGGTCCTATTGAAGATTATGATTTAATAAAATGTAGAAATTCTGAAAAAAAAACAATTGATTGGAAAAATAAGATATTTTTAAGTCCTTTAACAACAGTAGGCAATTTACCATTCAGAAGAATCTGTAAAGAATATGGAGCAGATATAACTTGTGGAGAAATGGCTTTGGCACCAAGAATATTGAAAGGAGCCCATGAAGAATGGGCATTGGTGAAAAGACATGAATCTGAAGATATTTTTGGTATACAGTTATGTGGAAATAATCCAGGAGTATTAACAAGATGTGCACAATTGCTAAATGAACAAATTGATGTAGACTTTATTGATTTGAATCTAGGTTGTCCTATAGATCTAATTTATAGACAAGGAGGAGGCAGTGGTATGCTGAATCGATTAAATGTTCTAGAAACTGTTGTAAAATCTCTTAATCAAGTTATGAATATACCTTTAACTGTAAAAACTAGGACAGGCGTATATATAGACAAACCTATTGCACATACTTTGATGCCAAAATTTCGTGATTGGGGTGTGTCCATGATTACTGTGAGTAAGTTAAGTGTATTTTAAATTGTTATAAAATTATAATTAATTATCTTAAAAGATATTTATTATTAATAACAAATGAATATAGGTACATGGAAGATCTCGTGAACAGAGGTATACTAAATTGGCTGATTGGGATTATATAGAAAAGTGCGCGAAAATAGCACATCCTATTCCAGTTTATGGGAATGGAGATATTTTATCTTTTGATGATTATCAAAGAATTCAAGATACATATAGTTCCATTTATGGTGTCACCATAGGTCGTGGTGCACTAATAAAGCCATGGATATTCACAGAAATAAAAGAAAAAAAATTGATTGATATATCAAGTACAGAAAGGTTTGAAATCTTAAAAAAATATTCTAAATATGGTCTTGAACATTGGGGTTCGGACACCCGTGGTGTTGAAACAACAAGAAGATTTATGCTGGAATGGATATCTTTTTTACATAGGTAATTTTGAGATACTATAAGTAATTATTATATATAAGATATTAAATTGTATTTTTAATTACAGGTACATTCCTGTTGGAATATTAGAAAGACCACCGCAAAGAATAAATGAGAGACCTCCATTTTATAAAGGCCGCGATGATATGGAAACATTAATGGCTAGTTCGAACTGTGCAGATTGGATTAAATTATCGTAAATATATTTTCATTTATCATCTTATATATATAATATTATAAAAGTATAATATTATACTTAATGTATTATATAATTTTTTTTGTTTTTTTTTTTTTTTTTTTTTTTTTTTTTAACTTTATATATTATTTTCAGAGAAATGTTATTAGGAAAAGTACCCAAAGGATTTCATTTCTTACCAAAACACAAAGCGAATTCATGGAAATAATATGTCACGTAAACAAAATAATTTTATATCATAATATTCTTTTCCTTATTTTAATAAATATTCATAGCACGGAATAAATTTTAGGTGAAAAAATGAAAAATTTTCTTTATTTTTTTAAGCACTTAACCATACAAACAAAAATAAAATAAATAACTTTGATGAACAAATAATACAGATTATAATTTTATATAATATGCATAATTTCAATTGCTTCAGCAAATGATTGATCAATTAAATAGTGGTAAAAAAAATTGATATTTTCACTCTTTAATCGTTAACCTTTCTGCTCCATCTATAGTTTCAAAATAGAGATTAATAATGATCAGTTATATCTCCGAGAACAGAAACTGGCCACATGCAATCACAACCACTGGCAATCTGTTTGACGAAAGGTTCCCAACATTCGTTATCCCATCGCCGTCTTACCAATAATAGCGTTTTGCTTCTTTGCACGCAATGAAAACCACTATGCACGCATTTCTGAAATAAATATTTGCTATTTAATAAAGAAAAAACAAAAAATCTCCAACACTTATATATAATCTTCCAAATTTGGCAAAAAGGTTAGCAAATAATTAATGTATTTTAAAATATTTTATTCATATAATATATGAATATTTGAATCATTTTTTCCAGGTTCAAGAATCATCTGAAGGACTAAATTATATACTACAATATTCTATGAATGAAAGCTTCTATTCTAGATTTTAGGTAATTTTTCTTAAACTATCGAAAATCAATTTTCTTATTTTTTATCTACCTGTTTTGATAGATTTACAGCACGCCGCAAATTATCTAACAAATTATAACTTTTACAGTAGATTTCATGATAATAGGGCGGTTGATATTCGTATTCAGAATCATCTAGTTGCACTTTTTTTGTTATAGTTTCACATAGACTATGATACTCCTATAGGCAAAATATAGAATATTAGATCTCGTTTATTTTTCTTTATTAAATATAATATAACTGACAGGCAACAAATTTCTGTTGTCTCGGTTAAGAGAACGTTGATGATTCTGCTTATTTTTAATGAAATCTTCTTCAAGAAAATAAGATGTATCTTGTATTAGAGGAAAATGTAATTGGGGATATAAATGTATAATATCCATTGGTTTTAATTCTTGAGAACTTCTATTGCACTTCTTGCAGACGTCGTAACAATCTTGCGCCATCACAGTTAAACCTGCGAACTATAAAGTTCTTAAATTATAAAAATAATTAAGCTTTATATATTTTTCTGTAACTAATTAACAATTTTTTAATTTTTTCTAATTTTTCTTCTATTATTTTATTCAGTAAAAAATATGAAATAGAATATATTAGCATTACGCATTCAATCTTTTTTTTTAATATTCAAAAAGAAAATATAAGAATTGCATAGTAGTAGAATTATCTATAAATATGGCGGCATGATATTTGGAATAATAGTAATTTTTGTAACAAAAAAAAATGTTTTGAGTCAAATTTACTTGAATCAAATCTACTAGAAACTGTGAGCTGTGAGCCAATAATAATCGACGATCTTTCGTTTTACATTATTAAACAACTGATTCATTCTACTTCCATTCCCACTTGGCAGAACCCTCCGCATACGATTTATGCTTTATCAAGTTTGATGGGTCTCTAATGCTGACTCCGACAATGCTTGAATTTTAACGATGACGTAATATAACGTCACGAAATGTCATCAAAAATTTATGGTATCATCGTTTTTATTTTAATTACATTTAATTTTATAGATTAATATTTGATCAAAAAAAATTCTTATTTAAAAAAATGCATATTGTCATTGCATAGAAGTAATTTTTAAAATATATATTCTTGAAATTTATATTACATTATTTGCGCAAAATGGTTGAAGTATATTAAATCAGTTCAATGAAAATCATTAATTGAAATTTAAAAGGGATTAAACGAGCTAGTCTCGTGATCAATTGGATAGTGATGTCAGAAATCAACGTGACGTGTTGATGAATCTTTGAAGACGATGATACTCTCGCGAAAAATAGAGTATGAACCGGTCAGCAAGGTCGATTGTGATTGAGCTGATGTGCTTCGCGTTGTATGATATAAATTGGTCTTCCCCGTGCCGATCTCTGTAGAGTACTGCCTTTAAATTGACAGTGGAATAATACTCATTTAATAAAAATAGAGGGAAAAATTTGGAGATAAGAGATTCATAAAATTTCGATAAATTAATATTAAATGCAAACTTAATAATTGTAAGATGTTAAGCTAATTCCTTCTATAAATGATTCTTTTTCGTTGTACGATCATAAATAGAAAAAATTTTAAATATTATATCAAATTTCCCTTCATGTTTGTAGTTAACATTAATTTCTTCTAAGCTAAAGATTTTCAAAACTAAAACAACAAAAGAATCCATTCTTGTCTTATAATCATTTCTTCTCTCCGTATAATATTTGTTATACTTTAATAAGATTCATCGTCGAATAACTAAAATTAAAATTAAATTAACACTTTCAGGAAGGGGCCAGGGGCGATTGTCAGCACGGACCGCTATCAAACATATACTCCACGCGGTGGCATGTCGGTGTGTGGTAGGTACTTATCCAATTGACAGTGCCCCCGTCTGACATAGTTCAGTCGTCGACGAACTGAAGATGATCTGACTGCGTTTCTACCAACAGTGATGTTTTTGCGATTCTATTCTTCTGATGAATTACGTTCTTCTACCGTGTGCTTCTTCTAATCATATAAACACATCATATCAAAAATAAATAGTGAAGGGAAGATTGAAATATTGACACATAAAAAATCGACATAATGATTCCTGTAAACGTGTCCAGAGACATCGTGTTTTGGTTTACTGGTCTAGTGAGAACAAACAACGCGGTCAAGGTTGATCGTTGTCAGTGAACCAATTCTTTTTCTGGCTATCAATAGACGAGCTGTGAAATCGGTTGACCCGACAGCTTCCTTTTGGAATAAACATATATTCAACGTGAGGAGAAATGCGAGTGAATCAATGCAATTGACATGGCAGCCGACTTGTATGCGAATGGATCTGTGAAGTCAACGTCCGACAGGTGAGATATAAGTAGATAAGAAATAACTTAAGATAAGGTTGTTACTATTTCTTGTATACTTTGGTGTTTGATGGTTGATTAATGATGAGGATCGTCTGAAAATGAAGAGATTTGTATTTATAATTTATATTTCAAATTAGCAATTATTATCAGTAATAATATAGAAAATTTAATATTAATGGAACTATTTTATTTCATGTTCAATATTAAATATAATTAGAGGATTATGAATTACAAAAAAATTGGACATTTATTTAGGATCTATAATTGTTTAATTTTTTGCATTTGAAATGGCAATTTTTAGGCATGGTATATGTTTTTGACACAAATATTTAATTTCGACAATACGGAATACCGATTAAACATTAGATGAATATTTTTGTATTTTCATATTATATACTATTAAGCAAATATGTCCATTTCTAAAGATTTTATAATTCATAATATTAATTATTACATATTTTTTAATTAATTATAAAATCAAACTGTAAAGATATGAAAATTATATAGTATGAAAGTAAATACTTTAAATAAATATAAATATTTTTCAGAAATATATAATACATTAGATAAGAAGAAAAATTAATAAAATTAAAAAAAATGAGAAATATTAAATGTAAGTTTGGAAAGAATTGAAAGTTTTTAATTTAATATCTTTTTAATTTAACATAATTCTAAATATATTCTTTATAAAATGAACATATTAAAATATTATTTATATATATATATATATAAGTAATTAATTTATAAATTATAATAAATTTTAAACTCTATTTCTACTTCTTATTTATTTTAAGCTTGTACACATAAATTATGTAATTATTAGAAAGTAATATTAAAATATTTTCTAAATATTTTAAATATATCTAATAAAATTCTATGAATAAATAGATTAAAATAGAAATAATACGTGAAATAAATTAGAATATGAATATTAGTATATAAAATGAATTAGATTGAATGAGGTAAATTAGCATTTTAGAATTCTATGAACTGAGTTTATGAAATATTACATTAGAATTCGTAGAATTACAAATTGAGAAGAAAAATATTTGATAAAAATTGTTAGTTCAAACGAGATCGAATCTCGATCATTTGATTTTGGGATGATTCGTACAAAAATGTGATTTGCTGATTTTTTACGTCAATTTTCATGACAATGAAACGATTTAATAGCCGTTACTGCTGTCTTGAGTTAATAACCAATTGATCCTCGACCTCCTGACCAAAGGTTCCATTGATGGACATCGTTAGACAAAACTTAAATAGTTTTTCACTCGAAATTCCAAATTTCTATTCTAAAATATTTTAAATGTTAATAATCAAATATGAAATTTAAATCAATCAGATATTTTTCTAAAATTGAAAATACATTATTGAAAATTGAATCCAGAAAATAAATAAAGGATAGAATTATCCAATTTAAAATTATTAGATTGTTGATAAGTATAATACTTGATTTCAATGCAAAGTCATATATTTTCATATGATAAAAATCAATCCTGTATCGGTTTTTAAATTTTTATTATTTTATTAAATAGATTTCTTGTCTTCTTATAGATAGATTGATTGAGACAAGAAATAACGTATATTAAAAATTATTAATCTCTTTCAAATATCAAAAAATTTTTAACAATAAAGAAACATGTTACGAAAATAATCCAACAATAGACAATAACAAACAATCAAGAAATAAGATTAAAATAGACGTAATTATTATGATTTTGGTATTTTCTGTTTTTCTATTGATTTCATATTCATTTTTTCTTTTTTTTTTTTTTCTTTTTTTTTCTTTTCTTCCCAATTCGAAGAATTAAATATTTCCATGAAATATATATACTTCATATATATACACTCACAGGCATGTACTATCAATTATGAAATGAAATACCATAGAATAAGTATTCACGTAACTGCTGTCAAAGAAAAAATTAAATACAAACATGTGCTCTCTTTAATAATATTGACAACGATCGGCAAGTGTTAACCTGTTACAAACAGTTTTTACCGGACATGCCTTATGGACAGTGGAAATTTCGTTTTCTGGAATTTTACAAAATGTATTAGTGTAATTTACATTTATTAATAATCATTATATGATCAACCTTGAATCTTCATGGTTGAATTATCATAAAATAAGGTCATCAATTTGTAAATTTAAAATCACATCAAAAAAGAAAAGAAAAAATCATTTTTCCACATTAGATAAAAAGTACTATAAAATAGTAATTATTTTTAGCTAAAAAATTTAACAATTTGTTGGACATTGAAAAATTGCAAGAAATAAAGCGTAATTTAGAACACGAAATTCTGAACGGGACGCGGCTCGTAAACGGGAACGATTAACAGAGAAGAGACTATTAGACTCGTTAATTTAGGAAATCAATTAGATTCTTCGTCCCAGTCTGCGTAAATGCAACAAGAATTCCATCGAAACTTTACACGATATGTTTATTGTCGTTTTAATACATTATTTGCTCCACATTAATTTAAAAGCCACAAATAGTCTAATCATATTTTTTTACTCTTTAAAACTGGAATCTTTGTATTTTCATATCATCAATCATTATAACTTAATTAATTGAAATTCAAATCATCTTGAATTGAAAATTCAACAAGTTTTGTATAATTAAAATTATTTAATTATTATTATAATATATATTCTTAAATTGATATATTCTTACAGAAAAATCTTTTTTTTTTTAATTGTTGCAGTTTCAAAATATTTAAAAAATAAAAATCACCATCTCGCAAGAATGTATATAATAAGGTCAGTGATGAACACTTTTGTTAACACTATGTGTTTTAATAACAATTGTTTCTTTTTTGTCTAATGAAAGTTTTCATTATTAGAGAAAATTTGGTAGGGGATTATTTTTCATTTAACATTTAACACTAAAGAACTTGTGTATGACTATGTTAAGAAAGAATGCGTACGGGTTCCTTGTGTTTAAAGAGACAATTAGATCATACTGGTGAGACATTTTCACGAGGATAGATTTAAACCTTAATTAGCAAATTGCGAATGACGCGTACGAAAATTCAAATAATAGCTATTCATAAA